GATAAATATATGACCACAAGGGATTAAATTATACATAAAAACAAAATTTCAAAATGAACAATTTGTTTGATACTTTGTTGAAATATTACGCATTTCTGACCACCCGCGCTACGGAGAAGATACCAAAAAGTTCAAAACCTCTCAAATCTAAATATAATATCTCAATATAATAATAAAATATCTCAATACAATAGAAACTAATGTATTATGTTAATCAGCGCGCGAGAGGTATGGTGAGTACAAGGGAAAGCTAAAAGTGTGAGCGGAATGTGGGGGAGTGGTGGATGAGGAGTGGGAAAGAAATGAGAAGAATAGGAGCAAGGTGTAGTAAAACAATGGATAGAGAATGGTCAGCGGATTGTTGAAGAGTGGGGTGAGGCTGATGATGGACATGAGAAAGACATGTGTGAGCAATATAAGTGTATTGCGTGTACGTGGAGAGCGAACGTAGAGTGTGTGTAAAGAGTGGAAGTAGAGAGCATGCATAGAGAGTGGGTGTAGAGAACGTTCATGGAGGGTGAGTGTATAGAACGTGCATAGAGTGTGGGTGTGTCGAGAATGTGCATAGAGAGTGGGTGCAGAGTGCGTGCATAGAGTGTGGGTGTAGAGAGCGTGGATAAAGAACGAGTGAAGAGAGCGTGGATAGAGAGTTAGTGGAGAGAACGTGGATATAGAGTGAGCAGAGAGAGCATGTATAGAGAGTGGTTGCAGAGAGAGTGCGTAGAGAGTGGGTGTAGAGAGCGAGACTGCTGAGTGAGCATGAAGGGTACGCAGAGATTGTGAGTGGAGTATGTGCTTGAAGAGTGTGCATGAAGAGTGTATAGCGAGAGAGACGGGACGGGGTGTTTACGAGGTTCGGACGGCCCGCAGACATGCGAGTGTGGAATGAGCGGGGCGTAGACGGGGTGGGAACGGCGTGTTTACGAGGGCCGGCCGACCTGCGGGCGTTAGCGGGAGGGCTGTAAGTAGACACACGATCGCAAGGCGGTGTGGTGTCGAGGCGCGTCGCCGTGGCGAACCTTCAGCGCAGCAATCGGAGACGCGATCTGGCGGAGACTGGCGGATCTGGGCGCCCAGCCTTGCTTGTTACGGGTTTCTCCAATTCCTCAGCCAGTAATTGGGCCGTTTGTCGCCACGCGACCTTCAGCTGGCGCAGCGTGGAGTCGCGATGCTCTTGTGTTTCTCCGGAGGGGGGCGGGTCAGAGTGACTGTCTTCGCTTCATCTCCGTCGTCTCTAAGTCTTTGCTCTGTTCTGCAATGGTCTTTTCGTCTTAGTCGCCGACAGTTGTGAGAAAACAGAAAAATTGGTTAATATAAAGTAAAAATGAAAATTGGTTAATTATAAATGGCAAGAAAAGTAGAAGAAAATTGTATGAATTTTTCTTTTCGCTTCCCTCTTGAAATTGTAATTTTCGTAATAATGTACTACTATATCGACTAAGCACAACAATATTGTCTAAAAGCCTCTCTTAACTACTAGCGTTTATTAAAGATTTAGCAGTTCGCTCTCCATTAAGAACAACCGAAACAAATGAGTTGGAGCTAAACATTGTGTACGAGAACACTTATTTAATGAAATGATATTTCTTGTTTATATGATTTTTCTCATAAGAAGATGGTCTTATGAAAATAAATGAATGACACACGGACGATATCACAAAACAGACTCGGTTGATTGAAAACCTCGTCATACTAACTTCAAATCCGAATGCTATTTGCTGTTCATGGACCTCACGGCATTTACAACTATAGCGTACGCTTCGCAATATAAGTAAGTTTCCTTGTTAACTCGTTTCCCTCAGAAAGAGTGAGGTCATATCGATAATAACATTTTTTTTGCAAATATGAGAGGTAAAAATAAATTTCATAATTTGATAATGTTCTTTCTTCTCCCTCCTTAACACCAACGCCAGAGAGATCAGCCCATCATTAAACATCAGGATTTCAAGGATCAACAAAAATCAGTACTCGTTTTCGTTACGCAAATATTTTTAAAAAGAACCTAAAATACATCACATTGGTCACCGTTTGTTCCCTGGTCTCCATTTCAGGGTATTCAGCCTCTAAGCCCACTACAAAGTGATAGATCTCATTCAATCCTACGGACACACGTTTGTGAGACAAACGACGGACAGGCGTTGACGAGAATCTTAAAGAAAGCTAATGGAACTGATTATTATACGAAGCTATCGCACAGATAAATAACAATATATTGACAACATTAGACCAATTGATTTTCCCGTTTAGTCGTGACATTTTATTTTCTTATCCATAAGAGTAAGACCAATTTTAGGCTATCCATGCAATACTTCATTATTCAATCCTCCTTATTTATTTAAGTTGACAGTCCTGATAAGCCTATTCAGGATCCCGTGATCTAATGAGATTAGGATAGCTATAATCACGATGATTAGATGAATGATGGAGAAATGGTGAAATGTGAGACAAGCAAAACGAGAGAACTCCGAGAAAACCTGCCGAGAATTCTCATTGTCCCCCAATATTCTACACCCTGGAGATCGAATCCAGGCCATGGGGGAGGCGTATTCACTCTCTATTACATCACGACCCCTCCTCTCTGCTGCCTCCGTTCATGTGACTTTTAAATGGTATTGTCTCCCTCACAGGATGGTGCTTCCTCTGAATAAGTGAAATGCAGAATAGTATTGTAAAGTACCGTTCCTGTATTTGGTAGCGAGTAAAATGAAATTAATTGAAGTGGGTGAACGAAGTGGAATGTACAAAAGCATCTAAACAAAATAATTTATACTAGCGCACCCGTGTGAGGACTCTTGCATGTAAATCCCCAACCTATCCCTTTCGATTTCCCTATATTTTCCATTAAGGAGAAAAGTTTTTAATAAAACGAGTTTATTATTTGTTTAAAAATGTATAAATGTAATTTTGTACTTACGGAGTATGAAACTACACGTATAAAAACAATCTTCATCATAGTACTTCTAGTTGTTTCTGCGAGAACGAATACTGAATTAATAATTATGGAAATAAATCTCGCCAGTTTGCGCAAACCACTGTGTACACACGAAGCGTAAAGATAGAGGAATGTGAGGGCTTCTAAGCGAGACGTCACGAAGATGGCCATCACCGCCAAGAGTTGAAATTGTGGCGTCGTTAACACGAGGGCCAGAACCGTTAGGTCGGTGAAAGTGCGCTGCGGGGCAGGAAGGGGTTGAGCCTGAACTTTCGGGATTTTGCGCTCTGGCAGTTGATGCAGGTAGGCGTAGCAGAGCCAAAAATGACATTAGGCTGTAAACTCCTAGGATGCTAGCCAGCGAACCCTCGCTTACCGACAGCAGGCGAGCCAACCTGGGAATCTTGTGTGTGGGGGTGTAACCCCCTCCTAAGATGCTAGCCTGCGAGCCTCGCTTGCCGCCAGCAAGCGAGCCTATCTACGGAACAGTGGTGGGGGGGTGTA